TATTCATCTTGTCAAAACCTTTGCAACCACCGAAAAGAGGCTTCAAAGATTCCACAAGGTAAACATATTTTTGAACATCATCAAATACTGCATGTAGGTCCGTCTGTGCGCCTGTGTAATTAATATCTGTTGTCAACATTCTCTTAGCCGCAGAGGCAATCAACTGCAAATTGGGCAGAAACACTCTTGCACACAGTTTGGTATTGAAAATGGGCCAAATCGGTCGAAGGACACGCCCACAGTACCACGTAAACTGAAGCCACCTCTCTTTTTCCAAATAAATAAAAACGTTGGGTTTTTGCTCGCTGCTCATAAACTGTGCCAGATAAATGTATAAAAATTTGAACTCATGTTCCATGGGCGATGCTGTAGTACCTGTACAAACACATGGAAAAAATTGAGGACGCCTACCGAATATTGTGGAGTACCAAAGTGTACTTTTTTTCAATACTTTTATAAGGCGTAGCAGCACGTTTCAAACACCCCTTAAGGTATATGAATTCTTGGCCATTTTCAAGTTTGGAATACACCTAAACATGTATGTTTGTTCGCCAGTCCATCTTTCTGCCTGCGCAGATGAGTATTATCTATGGTGAACATATCGTCTACAAATTTACGAAAGAATTTGGAAGTGACTTAAACTCCTCCAAGGACACGCCTTCAACGCCCACACGTCCATGCAAGAAAAACTTATATTTTGAAAATAGGAAAAATCAGCCACATCCACTCCATATTATAGAGCATGAAAATTTAGTTCTCTTACTCTTTTTGTCGCTTTTATTACCCTAAACGTGACGGGTATAAAAAATCCGGTCACAACCGAATATGACTTTCTTATTTGTTTTGTTGCTCTTTTTCTTATTTTTGTACATCATATGTGAGACATACGCATATAACTTTCTTAGTTACTACGTTTTTTGTTCACATAAGAACGCAATCCTATTAATAGACCGGATTTAATTTTTTCTTAAGAACAGACGTTTGTGTGTGTTTAACTTATACCTATATTACTTTTCTAACACGTTTTACTTATTCTTTTCTTTTCAGTTTTAATCTATGAATAATTGCTGAGTTACACACAGATGTCTTTCCAAAGTTGAAGACACACTCCCACACACACTAAGCCGATAAAAAAAAATGATCGTAACACAAGAAAGAAAATTATAAATTAGTATTTGTTTTATAATTAACACTCAGTAAAAGCAGATGAAATACAGAAATGCGATTTAGCTTTTACTTTACAGTTATTAAAATAATCCCTAGATTAATCGTAATTTATATAAAGAACACATGCTTAGAATGTTCGGAATGAAAAAAAAATTTTTCGTTTTTATTTACAATCTATCTAAAAAGATAATAAGTAAACGTTACGATTAAAAATGCGCTAAGTAGCAGAGGGTATTGTCATCCAATGGGAATAATATGACAACAAGGATATGGTACTTAAATAAATAAATAAAATGGAACCTTACTAACTATCGAATCATTGATACCCATCACCGTTTAACCGAAAAAAAGACAAAGAAATTAAAAGAAGACAATTCTCATCCTCTACAATGTGGGGCAGGCGCAGCTGATTTCTTCTATTTTCAAAATAAAAGTTTTTGTAAATACTACAAAGTTACGCACATAGAATAGATGGATCGACGAACAGGCGGACATGTTTGGGTGCACTCAAGGGTAGTAACTGGCCAAGAATTTGTATGTTTTATGGGGTTTTTGAAGCTTGTTTCTGCCTGTTATAAAGGTATTGAAAAAACAATCAAATTTTGGTACGTATGTTGGATAGGCGTACAGCATCCCCCATAGAATACGCCTTCAAATTTTCGTGCATTTATCTGGTACAGATTATGAGCAGCGCCAACGAGTAAAAACCAACTTTTTATTCATTTTGATAAATAGAGGTGGTCTTAATTTACGTGATGCTGTGGTCGTGTCCTTCGACCGATTTAGTCCATTTTCAATATCAACCTACGCGCAAGAACTTCCAATGTTTCTGCCAAATTTGGGGTCGATAGCTTCATTTTTGAGGCCAGGCAAATATTTACCGCAGACATTACACGGACGGGCAGACGGACATGCCCGAATCTATGCACAATCTGGTGTTGATCAAGAATACATATATTCTGTGCAATTTTGTAAAAAATGTTTTATAGGCACGGAATATATATATATATATATATATAGGAATTTTACAAAATTTCATATATTTTCATCGGAGTTATGAAGTGTCTTTCATGCCGGTGATATTAAAACCTTAACATTTTGTTGGGAAACTCAATCTTTACTAGCCATAGCCAGACGCTTATGTTATTTTTATGTGCAAAAAATGTTCAACATATATTCGTGCGAGCATTTCTTTTGTTCGCTTCAATTATTGTAGTTTGTTTTCATTGTTTTCAAGTAATGTCCTACATTGTCAACTGCAAGTAAATATTTTGCGTATTTCATAATTCTGTTAATAAACCTTAGCGTGATTGCGATAGTACATGACGTATATGTACGCGACTCTCTTCTAATCTGAAATTCTTATAATCCTTTGGGGTGATAACAATAATTTCACTACGAAGTATAATCAATTGATCGGCAAAAAAACTGTTTAGAAAATTTGCGACGTAAGATAAATATCATTAGAAAAATCTCATTAGATGTTCTTCCCTATAAGCTACGATCGATATAATCCCTATATTCGGTTTAATCTATCATAAATCCAATTAGAAATATGACATGCATGGGGAAATCAACGAACGAAATTGTCACGCTTGAGTTACGCAAGAATTTATTCAAAAGTATTACATTTAACAAAAAAATTTGCATAATAAACATTCAAACCGCCCTAATGCAAAGCATATATCTATTTCTGTAGGTTGTGAGTGTCTTTACAAAGTGAGGGAACGGAAACAATAATCATTGTTTGAAAATTTAACAAGAAAAGAAAAATCGAACAGAATGTGGAACCACGTTGTGTAACTACTCAACAGGTTCGATTATAAGATTAAAAATTTCACATAGTAGCGCTAAATGTTTTAAAGGGTGTCAACAAATGCGTTTTCTTTACTTATTAACCAAAGACTAGCCTGAATAGATCATATAGAAGCTAAACGTCAGCAGCTTGAGTTGAAAACCGGAAGGAGTTATTGGCTCTATTGGTTCGTCCAAGATTCATCATAATCTAAAGAATAAATGCATTTTATGAGAGAGTATCCTCTAGTCTTAGTATATATATATATACACTATATATATACTACTTTCTTTCTCTAATGTTCAAATACTTGATGAGGGGTATGTTCATTTTGTCAAAACGTTTGCAACGCCCTGGAGGAGGCTTCGCATGGTTTAAATACTCTTGATCATTATCAGATTCTGCATAGATTTAGGCATGGCCGTCTATCCATCTGTATAATATCTGTTGCAAACATTCTTCTAGCCGTAAAAGCTATCAACTTCAAGTTTGGCACAAACATTGGAAGTTCTTGCAGGCAGGTTGGCCATGCCCACAGCACCACGTAAACTGAGGACACATCTATTTTTCAAAATAAAAAGTTGGTTTTTGCCCTCTTGGCGCTGCTCATAAACTGTACTAGATAGATGCGCGAAAATTTGAACTGATGTTCTACGGGCGATGCTGTAGCATAAAACATTTCATGATAGCCACCGAAGATCTTAGGAAAGTGTCAAGTGTTGTTCTATCGAAGGAAATATATCAGATGCTAATTAAGAACATTCGTCGTAAGTGTTAAGCGGCTATAGATAAACAATTACGGGTACTGCATGAAGCATAGAACGAATAATGCGGGAAAACCACATAATTTCTTAAACCAATAAATTTTTACCTATTGGAGGATTTTGTTTTTAAAATAATATTCATACTCTTCGAAATGGTTTTACTGTATGTATTTCCTGGTTTGAATACATTTTAAAAAGATGTTATCATTTTACCGCTTTTTTTCTTTGTTTGTAAATCTCTTAATAAATTTGTGCTTATTCCTATAGCGAAGGATACGTTATTTATGTGCCCATGGCTGTATATATGTTTCTTATTCGTTTCGGACGTTTAGTATAAATTATAAAAAATGAGTTTTTTATTCGTACTTTCTAACAATAAGAAGAAAACTTTTTGTTTCTCTATGGCAAGTAACATGACTAGAACTATGGCGCCCTTTACGCTTACAAATGAAACAAACGCAAATGGAATTGTAGAAAGTTCAAGTGTAAACAAGCACAGGAACTTGAAAATAAAAAATTCTCCTTTGTTGCAAATGAAAAAAGAAACTTGAAAAATAAAAAAAGTTTTCATTCATAAACAATAAAAACTCCGATCCCAATAAATTAAGAGTAACTGAGGCGAGAGACGTAAGTCTAGGGTGAGTTTACTAGCCGCAAGCTTTGAGATAGACTACCTCATCTTAATGTTATAAATGAATCAATGAAAGGCAAATCACATTTGAAAATGAGATAATAAGAACAGATGAAAATAAAAAATGAAAGAAAAATCTGAAATAATCACAAAAATATACCTGGAATTGAGTTTTATTGTGTAAATATAAGAGAGATTTAAATATCCGTCTGGCGAAAAGAGAACCGGTTGCTTGGATCAGCGAAACGGATTTCTACTGGTTTCTAACGAATTTATTTTTAATTTCCTTCAAGAGATAAAAATTCCTATAGTTATTAAACCATATACTAAACTGCTAAACTGCATGTAATGTAATGCACTTTAGAAAGATATTAGAAGATGTCTAAAGAGATGACCAAGGTAAGGTATGAAAGAAACTACTTTTTCATGCCTTCCACAAGGCAATAAAATTTTAATGCGCATTTCTATGGAACATTAAAAAACGAAACAGGTTTTTATAATTGTTGTGCACTACAAACATACACACAAGAAATTGCTACTAAAAAATCATATTAATATTTTCCATTGCTAACGTATAAAAAACAAGCAATTCTAAGCAATATAAAAAAGTGCAATTTGCATAAAAGCGATTAATATTTCTTACCTCCGCCACTATGCTGGCATTGGATTTTAAATTTGCGCAACTCTTATTATCACTCGAATCGCAGACGAAACATTTTATGGCAGCACCTTTAAGTATGCAGTAATGTTTATTTTATTGCAAAGTATTCAGACATAATTTTGGTGGATTTATTGTTAAGGTGTGCGTATGGATAAGTGGATGTAACGAAGTATTAAGGTGGAGCAAGCATATACACACACGCACAAACACACACACACACACACACACACACACACACACACACACACACACA